TTCGATGCCCTGGCACAGCCGCATTACGGCTTGCTCGTACATGTAATCGTCAGGGAGGTTTCTAAATGCCCTGGTGGCCAAGGACAACACCCGATCAGCCCAGTCCTCAAGAGACTCCTCAGGGGCTTGCCGGGCATTGTTAAACTGGACCCTGGCAGTCTCAGGGAGCGCCTTGAAACTAAAACGCTTGTGAAGCTTCTCCACAAGCTCCCTATAACTGACCTTCCTGTCTCTTTTTGTTATGAGGGCATAATATTCACTGGCTTTTCCCTCAAGACACCGGCAAAGTTGATCCTTGCATTCCTGAGGACCCCATTCACAAACCTCTGCATACCTTGCAAATTTTGTTAAAAAAGCCTGCCAGTTGCCCTTGCCGTCATACTTTATATTCTTTGGGGCATTAACCTTAGAGATGCCACCTAAAGTTCCTCGTGCCCCACTTCTGCTGTCAGGTCCCCTAGTGTTTTCCCTGGGCCTATCCTCATTGGTTGACATTGGATAGGCCTGTTGCCCATAGCTCCCCCCTGCGGTGACCCCTTGTGGGGGCACCGGTGTATACCCTTGGTTGTACGGATTCTGGCGTTGCCTATCCCCATAGGCACGGGCAGGGGTCTGCCTTGTGTCATCACTCCTATTGTCTTGTCTTTCTCCATACATTTGGGCTGGGGCCTGCCTTGAGTCTTCGCCCCTATTGTCTTGCCACTTGCCATATCTACTGCGGGGTGTCTCATACTGTCCCCCACCAGTGTGAGCTGGTTGGGTACAGGGTGCTGACCCCTGACCTGCATAGTTGCTTGTGTGACCCATGGGGTATGAAGGTGCGCCCCTTTTGGTCGAGACATTCTTGTCCCATGCACTGGCTTCACCCGGCCAGTGCGGCTTGGTCTTTATACTACTCCCTTGGTGTTGGGGATTACCTTGGTTTGGGTCACCCATAATGACTCCACTCGTTTTTTTTATTTGTTCCCTGTATCCCCCATCCCAATTTTCCGGGGTTTTGCGTCTAGCTCCAGCATCCCCAGGATATGGACTACACTCAAGAAAAGCGGAGTCCATCTGGCTGGGCCCTCCCCAGGGCCCTGGACTTTGCCCCTGATGCCATGCTTCTTGCTTAAATGCTGATTGGACATTGACCCGTGATGGTGTGCTTTGTGAGGCCATCTATCAGTGTGTTGACCCTGTTCAACATTTCATCATGCCTGCCTTGGGCCTCAGGTGGTGGCCCAATATTTTGGCCACCCCCGTTTTGGTTGAAGTCAAGCCTGGACAAGAGGGCCATTGTCACTCGTAGATGGGAAATTGTGGCTAGGTCTGACTGAGTCACAAAGCCCTTGCCCTCCCTTATGTCCATTATTTGCTACCCAGTTTTAATTCCTATTCCTTGGAGCTGGAGTTACTCTTGAAAGCTACAAGTTTTTATGTTTATAATGGACATTGTAACTGTAAATAACTAACACTGATATTCAACAAAGTTTATTTATGTGAACAATAAACAACAACAGCCAACACTTTTAATGCTACAGATGTTTTTTTTTTTTTTTTTTTTTTTTATTTAATAACAAATACTTCTGCTTCGGGTAACCCGTCCTTCTGGTCTGCGGTTAGTAGCGGAAGCGAACAGAACAATAATACGACTGGTAACCCGTCCTTCTGGTCTGCAGTTATCAGAAGTAAACAAGACAATTACAACACGACTGGTACCCTGTCCCTTCTGGGTCACGTGGTCCAAGTTGTCTTGAAAATACGAAAAACAACAAATACGTAAATACTACGCAAAAAACAGGGGTTCTACCGCGCTGCAAAACCCCTGTGATGTTATGTAATATGCTCTCCCAGAGTATTACACAACAAAAAACGATCGGCAAAGGTTTCCTCCGAATCCTTTACCGCGGGAAACTCTGTTGAAGCGAACGTCGCCTCAACTCACAAAATGAGCCCTAAATTGCAAATCACCACGCAAATTAGTGCTCGCAGCGCCAATGTTGTGATCTCGAGTAAATATATGAACTTACCCAAGACGCTGAGCAACTTCTTGGCGTTGATCGCTTAGATGGCTTTCTGGTATAATATTTGGTGACTGTCGTCTTGATTAGGTTTACCGGAAAGGGTCTGGCTTAGTACCAACGAATACCACACAAATATAATTTGTTTTTCGGGAAGGGATATTTTACATACATAGGCGTCGGTACAGGTCCAGTGGCTTGGTTTTTTTCTGTCCCGTAAGGTGTTTTAAAAGCTGGTGTACATGTATGTAAAACATTTAAAGCACTGACCGATTTATTTGTATAAATAAAAGGAAATGAAGGGTAACATTATTAAGACAGCAACCAACAAGGCCAAAGCTAAACAAGGTCAACACTCAGATTTCTGCAATGGATACATATAGATTCTACCACTGCATCGAGTGTGATACGATATTTATCTACTCGAGACAGTTAAATTTTCAAATTTAAAACGTGAGGCTCGCCGAGCGTTTTAAATATTTAAAATTTAACTGTCGAGAGTGGATAAATATCGTATTACACGAGATTTGGTGGTGGAATCTGTTCCTCTAATGATTTTCTAACTATATGCAGGCAAACTTATTCCTTCTTTTCGAATGATCTGCAAAAAGATGTGTTCTTTCTTTGTGACGTCATCAGGCATGGTCGCCTTTTTTCATGCCGTCACAATAGGAAATTCAGAGGAAAGCAAGAAAATTCGACGTCATAATCGGATTTTAACCAATGAAGAACTGAGATCAAACGAACCACACGTTGATTAAATTTTTTTATACAATGGGTGCAGAAAGGGATAAATTGACGAAGAATTAGAGAAATGTCTATACAATATTTCAAGCTCTAAATTTTCCAAAAGAAATAGATAATTGTGAATAATTTTACAAAAATATGTAATTCACATAAAATCCCTCAAATAGCAAAATTAAATACTCAAATTCAGGAGACATTAAGGTAATGAACAAGAACGAACTCCGTTTCCTAACATCTGAAAAACAATAATCACAGCTTCATGTACATGTTTGTTTTATAATGTTTTGACAACAAATGGTATATAGTTGACTTTGATCGATGCATGCGAAAAGTGCTTGCAAATGTTCAAAATCATAGTTTTAATAAATATGTTTTAGAACGGTCCAGAAAATTAGCCTGTCAGATAAATAAAAATAAGAAGTATGATACCCATTGAGGTAACTTCCACCAGAGACAAAATGACGCAGATGTTAGCAAATATTAGGCACTCTATGGAATTTAACAATGAGAAAAACTCATACCGCATGCTTTAAAGGATTCGACATGACAAATGTAAAAAGAAAAAAAGAAAAGGACAAAACCAACGGCATGCCATTGATTTATGTACAAAATAATTATTCACGAAAAGCAAGTATCATACACAACAACAAACAACAACCAATGAAATCCAGGCACACAACGAACTTGGAGGGTTGACCATGTTTGCGGGCTTCAAACCCATCCCTAACCTGGGACTGTGGTGTTACAGCGCAACATACATCAATAAAAGCGCTGTTCCTTTGCTTTTTGTGCTTTTGCTGTGCATGTAATGATTTTGTGTCATGGGTGGATACCCCATATTCTTTCTTTTTATACCATGTAAGAACTAACTGTAAAAAACAGTTAAAAAGGGGTTGACTCATCAGATTGATATAAAGTTCATAGAAAGCTGACAAGAGACCACTATAAAGACAGAAAGTAAGGATCAGATAGTCACAAATGTATATATTTTACTTCATAACATGCCAATTTGTCGATTTTTTCTAAAAACAACTTTAAACCGATTTACTCTTTAAATACATTACTGGAACCTGTTCAAATAGGATATAGGGACAATTAATTCCAGTATAATAAAGATGTATTGGAACCCAAAACGTTTGTGCGTTGGATTATCGGGACAGATGATGGATAGATATAATTGATCACACTTTTCTCAAACACAAACACACAGAGAGTAAATAAACATGTCTGCTGAAAAATTGATTCATGAAAAAAGTTTTCCGAAATAAGAACAGTCAAAAACACAAATGATTCAGAAATTAAGCTTTTTCCAGCAGTTAAAAATTATCAAGCATAAAAAGAAAATCGTAGCCCTTAACTAACTTTATTGGCCTTTCCTCTATTCCACTGTTTTACCCCAATGCAATTTATATGCAGAGCAGTTTTCTGAATGGATGAAACTACGATGCAAAAACAAATTCAACATAATAAGTTTTTAAAACGGCAAGCATTTTAGAAAAGCTTTTACTTGTATATGACAATACATCTGAGTATGTTTTAAATCTATCTCGTATGGCGTATTGGTTTTAAATTTTAAATCTGTCTAATATCTTACACCTGGAAATAGACAATGAGGTTCAGTAACAAAAATTTAGCAACCTTCCAGCAGCGCCTGCATAAGGAATATATATCTCACAGCTAATACGATATTCCAGAGCTTGCATTTTTTATCATGATTTTCTTGATAGAGGGTTGCTGTTATCAAGGGAACTTTTAAACCAAGCATTCTAAGTAGTAAAGTTGAAATCATCCTTTCGACATATTTACGGACGCCATCACGAATTAATTAACCGTTAAGGAATATCTGTTTTCAATTTTTTTTCCAATTGCCGTAACCAAAATGCCGTCCTCAAATGGGACCTACCGGTTAAGACATATTACCGGTTTTGTACTTACATGAGCTATATAACGGGTGCCACTAATGGAGCAGAATCTTCTTACCCTTCTGTAGCACCTGAGATCATTCCCGGTTTTTGGTTTAGTTTGAGTTGATCAATCTTTATTTTTATGTTGTATTTTGTTTCCTGTTGTTTGTCGTTTGGTCGTTTTTAGTTCTTTAGATTGTCAGTTTTTGTTTTCGAGTTTGAATATCCCTTGGTATCTTTCGCCTCTCTTTAGCAAACAAAATTGAAGAAGCTAAGTTATTTTGATTTGAAAGTCGGATACATTTGGTTACATGATTGTTTATAAATGTGTGTTTTTTTTCTGCAGATAACAGTGTACGATATTGACAACGCTGCAGGTTTAAAGATGGAGGATGCAGTAGTGGAAGCTATCATCAAGGGATGGTCATTACGTGACTTAAATGAAAGAAGTATTTAATTTGATATCTATTGCAAAAAATCTCCTTACTTTTTCTGTTCTATTCTTAAGTTGAAAATTGTCTATATACGGTTGAATCATAATATTGATAATGATAGTAATGTAATAAGAAGGGGCCGAAGAAAAAGAAGAAGAAAGCTACATCTATGACGGCAGATTTATTGACGGGTAAGGACGGGTGAACACATTGTTCTCTAACACCTGAAATGGAAATGTATAATTATAACAAATACCTGAAACTCGAACATTAATTGTGTCTTGAAGATTTATATGCATTTCTTTTTTCGCCATCTCACAATGTAGGTAACCGATAATATAACAAAAAGAGCAATATTTATGAAATTGTGACATTGACATTACTGGGTTCACAAAAAACCTCATGGATACCTGTTTTTCATGTAATACACAAGACGTGCGTTGCTTCTGCATAAGACTTCTAAATAGCGTTCAAATTTAAAAAGGCAAAATCAATGACGAGTTCACAATCGTTGAAAACTATAGAAATAAAGAAATATTGTACAACATATGGATAGTGCAACAAGTGCCTGATGGTATAAACACGTTATTTTGAATAATTTTAACATTTCCAACCCCGTTCATGCAAGGACTGACTCTTGACTGCAAGCTGCTTTTTCATTTTAATTTTGAGAAGGTTCTGTATGAATTCTCTTGATATGTGCGGTTCTTTATAAGCGAAGATTTTTCATGACACTAAACAAGGAATTTTGGATTTTTATTTTTCATATTTGTAAACAAAGCTGTTCGATGAGAAAATGCAGTTGATTTCTCGATTGATCACGGAGAATAATAGTTTGAAGAGTAGAAAATTCAAAGGTTCTGATATTACTACAGTAAAGATTGTTATTGAAGATTTTGGAGTAGATCTTACGAATTTTAAGAATCCACATCCAATCGTCATCGCTAGTTGAATAATCTCATAATAATCCTTCTGAAAGCCATCTTTTACTAAAGAAAGGAGGTGAACACTTTAGAAAGATGTTCAGTCGAACCCAATTATAAATCGTTCTTAATCGTGATTTTTGTGAAATTGAGTTATCCAGTATGGAGATTGGAGATTTTCATCGTTCTTTTCTGGGGTTAATACCAACATTACTAAAGGAGAGAAGGGCGTGATTTTCTAAATCTCCTCTTTCGTAAACGATGTAAGGTTGTATGTTGAATTCTCCGTTTTGATTTCCAACATGTGAATAAACCTATTAATGTTACAGTAACATAAAATATAAACATATTTTGTTTATTAATGGAACTGTTAATACATTAAAAGAACAATTGGATTTTTAAAGACTGTTTTTGTCGGATAGACCAAGTAAACTCCATCAATTATGCAAACGCACGGATACTGAACAGCAATAACGATATAGTGCAACACGAAATGTGGTGGGATTTGTCGAGTTTTACGAACCTTCATTTTGCCTTCTTATACCAAATCTTATTTCAGTGAAGGACATAATAAAACACACACACATACAAGGTGCAAGTCAGATTACCTGTCACTTGAACAAGTTAAATAAGTATGTATTACTTGGAAAGCAGGTCCAACACGTGCTCCCTACAGAGGCAGCAACAACTGTTGGCTGAATTCTGCCGCTCAAGAAAACAAACAGTCTTTGATCTTGGATGGAAAGTTGTCTCATCGGTAACCATATCGCATCTCCTAATTTTTATAAACATATCAAACACAACACGTTCAAAATTTCGAGAAGTCTCCTCGCACATTTTGATTGAAAAAGGCCTGTTCGTGAGTAACGGTATTTCTATCAAAAGCATTTCATTTCAGATGGTATAGCAGATAGTGACTCTGAGGAAAACGATCCAACCACAAAACTATGTATACTAAATCTATATTTAGATATGCACGTTTCGTACACGTAAGACGCAACAGTGCATAATCTTATTATTTGGTTTATTGCAAATATCTTCAAATAACAAATTCAACTGCATAGGCATGATGAAGGTAAATCAAGAAAAAAACGCTCCAGACACACGACATTTATAAAGTGTTAAGTCTATTTCGTTTTCAATTTCATCCCTAACATTGCATTCGAATATGAAAATTCGAATGTAATAAGCTATTTGTAAATTTAGCAACCTGGTCTGATAGAGAAATATCAAGGTTGTTAATTTCAACCTGTTTGATAGTAAGTCGTTTACTAATTGTTGTAAGAGGCTTTCTGTCAGCCAATGAAAATAATTTGAGAGCAATACCATAATCGTTTAGTTTCGACTAGAAAAGTTAGCGAGAGCATTTATAAGTAATAGAAGTAACAAGATGCTATAAATTCATCTTTTTTCAATATAACTAACAAGATTTAAAAAATCAGACAATCGCACGAACTCTGTATCGACACCCTTCCGGAGAAGAAAATATATCAATCATTAAAATAATATTCCGATTCACATAGGCAAATTGACTTTAAAAGGGTTGAGCATTTCTTTTAAAATTCCTTTCGGCTCATCTATTATTTGTTTACCCTCGGCTTTCACTTTTTTGTATTTGAGTGTCCTAATAAAAGTTAATGCAGAAATGAGTTTTGGACGCACCAAATTTATACAATGTTATTTTCGTCCTTATTCAAACACGAATAAATTTCTCACAATGTTTAGTAAAATTAGAAAAAAAAAAGAAATACTTTCATTAAATACAAGCTAGCAGAAAAACGATAAAAAAATTTGTTATATCATAAGTTTTAAAATTCTATTATAATTCAGACAATCGTAGTTCATGTAGCCCAGAATTGATATATATAAGAAACATATATGATATTAATTGAAGAACTTTTATATATTTTATCTGATCATATAGGCGGTTAATCACTGTATACATTACACACGTTGTCTGTATTATTTTAAACATTTGTACCGCCTTGAAAATATTAAAGGACAATGGGTTAAGACTGACACGATGAGATTATGCTAGTGCAATATTTTCTGATCAGGACAAAATATTATGAGGAATTACATTGATGCCACAAATTTATATTTAAAAAAAAAACGTTTGCCAACATCTTGATCATCGATTTAAGAGGAACATTCATTTTTATAAGCTTCCCGTTTTCATATCTTATATTTAATGACATCAAATTGTTGCTTTAATGTTATGAAAAAGGGAACTTTGATGACCTTTAAAATAATAGTAAAGATTTTGATTTGTTATAACTTTTAATTGTAGATAAGCAAAACAATCAGTTTAATGATAAACCTCCTCATGTAGTAACTGGTAAGTATACAATCGTACCTTTGCATGAATAAAAAAAAAAGAGATGTGGGTATACGTCAATGTGACTATAATCCAATGACAAAAAATATCGAAAGATATGTAGATGGCAACATAGAAGTCATCAACAGAAAAGATGTCTTTACAAAACCAGGTTCAACCCACCATTGTTTCTTAAAATGTCATGTAGTAAGTCAGGAAAATGGCTATTGTTATCTTATAGTTCGTTTCTGTGTGTATTGCATTTTAGTGTTTCTGTTGTGTCTTTGTTCTCCTCTTATATTTGATGTGTTTCCCTCAGTTTTAGTTTGTAACCCGGATTTGTGTTTTCTCAATCGATTTATGAATTTCGAACAGCGGTATACTTCTGTTGCCTTTATTTACCATCTGCCAAACTCTAAAGCATACCAAGTATTATATACAATATGTGTGTTGATAAAACAGAAACTATATAGCAACAACAAATAAGAAAAATACTTTTGAATATGAAATAAATCTACTAATGACTTCTCAATCCTCATCACGGTAATTTCGAAGACTACACTAACAAAAAACATAAAGACATACAATAAAAATCATTACAGGAAAACGACTAAACTCTAAACTATAGTTAAATATATAAGTATAAACAAAAATACATTCAAGTAATTTTACGAATAAGAATTATTTCATTTACGGAAAGAAACATAATATAATTAATAGTATTTTGATATGAAATTATGACGTCTTTCACTCTAATATTGTTTGCTGTACTACCTCAATGAATATTTCATCCAGCTTCCAGGCTAAAATAACAAGAATTCACGATTCTGTGCAATTCTGTGCAATACATAGATCAAACTGTAAAAATGCAAAAAAAACAAAGGAAAAATTTAGCAAATGGAAATCCTTTTTAAAAAAGAATAGAAAGTCATCTCATTTATCAAATTCTTCGATCATCATTACCATGATAAATTCTGCTTTTTATTTTAGCAAACCAGACCAAATTAGACTCTGGTAACTCTAGTAAGTATTGTTGCCCGTTATCCATTTCTCCATCCGTTTGCAACAAAAAACTACGAATTTTCTACCCTAGGAATAGATAACATTAGGTGTATTTGGCAAAACCTTTCGGAATTTTGGGTCATCAGTTATCCTCAACTTCGTGCTTTATAGGGCCTTTTTAACTTTTTTTAATCGGCCGTCAATGATGAGACTTTTGTAGACAAAACGCGTACAACATTTAAGCCTGGTATCTATAGGGAGTTTATTTACATCAACTCACAGTCTATATCTTTTGATTTGACAATACTAGCAATTTGCAATAATTATAGTTATAGTTAGACTTCCTAGATAGTTAAATTATTACATGTAGAAAAATAGCTATAAAGAAAGATATTACTGTGTAGATGTCACACCAACATCTCAGCCAATCATCACCAAGAACGTTTTTAAAACGTTGACAACCTCTGACAAAACATAACAGTTTTTATATTGCTGTGTTAGGCCTGTATTGTTGATCTGGCAGTGATTTGTTCGCGATTTTCACACTACAGGAGAAGGAGATTTATTCTATTTGCGTATTTTTTCTAATCACAAAAGTCGCGTTAATAAATAATTTGCCAACATTAGTTGGTTTGAAGTATTATCATTTCAAAAACATTTAATGAAAACCCCTAACACTTCATCCAAACAATAACATGAATAAAGAAAAAAATCTTGTTTTAACATTCCTATTATTTGCATGTCTAATCTGTTCGTTTGATGTTCTAATGGTGCGAAGATCTCATAACTGGTATAAGTTTCTGATACTAGTTGACATGAAAAAAACATACAAAATGGTATTTTTAAATTTGAAAAAAAGCGTACAAAATGAGATATCTTTAAAAGCAGGACTATAATGGTGAATTTGAATTTGCATGCTTTTTAACTCTATTCGAATGTGTTTTTCACGAATAAAATCCCTTCATGTACAATAACCAATTCAAAACATTATATTTCACTAAATTTTACCAAGCGATGTACTGTGGATTCATTTATTTTCGTGGGTATCAATTTTCGTGGATAGAGAAAAAAAGACGTTTCGTGGTATACGTAAATTCGTGGATCGCTGATTACAAAAAAAAAATCAGATACGTAATTCGTGGATTTCTTTTTGATTTTGGAGATCATATAACCTCCTTGGTTTAATCAATAATAAAACAAACAAAAAAGAAGGAATTCATTGAAAAAGTTTTGAATTGTCAAAATCCTCGCTTGGTCATTCTAGGTTAAAGTGTTCATTGAAAACTTCTATTACAATAATGGACAGAGACAACTAATTATTTGTTTGTTTTACAATTTATAAATTCTTGTCGGAATTTTATAAGGCATTCAAAACTCTATGATTGAAAGCTCATTTCCCTAATCACGATATAATTAACAGTCATATAAGTAAAAGGTGTGAAAATAAATGTTCCTGTCATAAACAATATTACCTACGGGCAATATCCCCGTACTTAATCCTATTGATTTTTTATCACCAGTAAACCAAACTATGACACGGTAATTAACAACTTGCAGTTATTTTCCATGAACATTTTTAATCAATTTCAAAAAGTAAATTATTACCTATATTCGATATATTTATTATTGATTTAATCAAAATACTTGTATCTTCTTTCAATAAAAACACGTGTTATGTTACAATGTTTATCGCTAGTCAACACTATACTAGAACAGCATAACATAACCGGAAATAAATATCCGACTCCATACACATTTCTCGGGACTATTCTTCGTTGAATTCTTAAATTCGTGGTTCGCTGTGACCCACGAAACCCACGAAAATTGGTATACCATGAATAAAAATGAATCCACAGTATTGCTCATTACAAAGTTTGTTAGACTGATGGGTAGACATATGAATGCAAAAAACAAAAACAAATGGGCGTAGGGACAAAATGCATTTCCCATAAACACACATATAACCCCATCAACAAAGCGATAACAGTAGGACAGACACACAACAGTTCTCAAACACTACAACGAAAAGTATGAACACTGCCTTAACCCGGAGGTGATTTAATTCGCTCAGGAAGGGTAATAGATATTCCATAATATCAATTTTCCATCATTTTTGATATTGACATAATCAATGTGTTATCTCAACAATGAAAACCAAAATGATCCCTATTTGCAGATTGAAGTATTTTGGAAAACTGCAAACACTTCATTAGAAGGCTGATTCCAGGTCAATATTATATATAAATTGCAGTTTTGAATGACTTAAAGAAAAGTCCCTTCACCTTTAAACGACGAATACATTTTAATTTGACATATAAATATTGATACTTAAAGAAATATTTTGCTTTAAAAGCAAATATATCATTTTTGAAGGATTTATTAAGAATTGTAATTTTCTGTAAATATTGCTTAATAAATATTTAGATGTACATTTGATATCGGATAATGGTATTCTGTTCTATTCTTAATGTATATATTTTAATTTCCGCAACTTTTCTTAAAGTTTAATTGTATGATTGTAGAAAAAACGAACAGTTGTAATAAACGTCAAGCTCAAAATACAGTAACGTTAAACATAGTAAAAGACAACAACTTTGGTAAGTACATTTACAAATATTATTAGTTACATAGTGTGCTAGTTACCTAATACGATATATATTGGGTCAGTAAATTCCATATGCACCAGCACACTGTCTAACGAATTTATCTTACCGACTATCTTGACATGTGGTATTCAGACTTGTGTCCTATCAAAGTGATCAAGTCTTCAATATTAAGAACCTACTTTCATTGGTCTATACAAAAACTAATGCCAACAATAACAATGTGTTAGCTTTTAATGTGTTTTCTGCATTTATTTCAATCGTTCATCATCAATTTCTTCGTCTGTTGAAACTTTTCAGATTTTTCCTCAACACCGTGTTGTTTTTACAAAGGGACGCAACCACACTACTAATCATGTATTGAAATAGACCACGCCTACTAACCCCATATGAAATATTCACGGTCTCCACGCGGTTGTTTTTAACCAATCATATTCCTAGAAATGTATAGGAGGTAAGATAAAATGGAATTTCCACAAAGCTTTACTGTATGGGTTCTATTGATGTAATGTTGATACCCTTTTTCGATATTTTAGATATTCGTCGAAAGTACCTTACAATTAGTAAATTTAACGTTTATAACAAATAGAATAATAACGTTTAGTTTTCTCGTCCATAATAAGAATTAAGCATTTGCAAAATATAATGCTTTAGTTTAGGCTTGATTTCAAATGAAGGAGCACTCTGCATGAATGAATCCCTGATCATTGTTATAGAAATTCTCACTGTCAAATTTTTGCCGTTAAAAAAAGATAACAAAAATTATACCGAACCCCAAGGTACATTCAAAAAGAGTGGAAGTCCACAAAACGTTGTTGCTATTAAAGGGGTACTTTATTATTTTGATGACCTTTTATCAATTTGTTTATTCATATAGATATAACGTTTAATAAAAGATAAGCTAAATAATTGGACCTTTATATGAACAAAAGAAGATTTTGGGTATTCGTCGATGAGACAGTAGTCCAACAACAAAAACATCGAAATACATTTAAAGGAAAACATACGGTCTTTCGCAGAAAACAAAACGTCTTTACAGTGTGTCAGCCCCGACTCATCCCAAGTATATAAAAGTTCAAATGGGACAAGAGTAGTTGCGCCGACAGGATATGTGTCTCATGGCCCAGTTATGGTGAAAAATGTAAGTATCAGTCGTTTTGTTGTCAAAGTCTGCTGGATTATACTACAATTTTAACTAATATCTCATGAACGTGATGCCACAATCAAGGTTAGTATGATTTAAGCATAGTAAGGTTACTTTAGGAAACATGTTAGTTATTTTCATACAGGACACAAGCGTTACACACAGATTTTTTTTCAAATGATTTTGAGCTTAACAGATTGGAATGTTTTGTAATTTTGCCATTCAAGTTATTTTACTAATGTTTCATAGTATAAGTAATAAGCAACAGTAGTTTTTTAGTGTTAGTAATATATATTCTGCCACTGCATCGAGTGTGATACGATATTTATCCCCTCGAGACAATTAAATTTTCAAATTTAAAACGCGAGGCTCGCCGAGCATTTTAAATATTTAAAATTTATCTGTCGAGAGTGGATAAATATCGTATTGCACGATATTTAGTGGTGGAATCTGATTCTCTAAGGATTTTTAGACGATATGCAGACAATCTCAAACCTTCTTTTCGAACTACCTGCAAAAAATGTGTTCTTTTTATGTGACGTCTCAGTCATGGTCGCCTTTTTTCCTGACGTCACAATAGGAATGTCAGAGGAAAGCAAGAAAAAAAATAATCAACAGGTCAGGAAAAGGACAGATTGATTAAAAATTATAGAAACTCATTTATACTATGAATACACCAATCAAAAGTGAAGTCTGCAGAAATCACATAAACTTTAAATGGGACCTGAATGTTGTTATTCCTTTCAGATACAAGTTTGATGAAAAACTATCAACTGACACTTACACCTGGCTCACTGTCCTTGTTCTTTTACATAGCATATCAATTCATACAGGAAAAAGAATACGAACGGAAGAATGAGGTAAGAAATTCAGAATCAGAATTATTAGCTAACAAATAACGAGAGATATGGACGATTTAACAAGTATTAATGCATACTTTATCGAAGCTTGTGAATTAACTTATTGTCATGCTTTCGTTGTCGTGGTAATCTATCATTAAGAGGATTTTTTTTTAATTTTTTATACCGTCCGGTGGTCTCGTGGTAGCGTGTTCGCCTCGATTGCAGTAGTTCGTGGGTTCGAACCCCGGTCGGGTCAAACCAAAGACTTTAAAATTGGTATTTGCTACTTCTCCGCTAAGCACGCAGTATTAAGGAGTAAGAGCAAAGACTGGCTTATGCCGAACTAAAACAATCATAAAGACAAGAAAGGTTGCTCCACACCTGGAGTCGGGCTTCAGCTGGCCTCTAGAAATGTGTACTAGTTCAATGAAAATGGACGTCACATTAAACTCCAAAACATATAAATGAACTGAAATTAAACTTGAATTAAAAAACATACAAGACTAACAAAGGCCAGAGGCGCCTGACTTGGAACAGGCGCAAAATGCTGCGGGGTAAAACATGTTTTCTGAGATCTCAACCCTCCCCCTATACCTCTAGCCAATGTAGAATAAAAACAACACAGCAATACGCACAGTAAAACTCAATTTAAAAGAAGTCCGAGTCCGATGTCAGAATAGGTAACAAAAGAAACTAAGCAAAATGACAATGATACATAAATTAACAAAGGACTACTAGCAGTATCTGACATGCCAGCTCCAGACCTCAATTAAACTGATTGAAAGATTATGTCTTCATCATATGAAAATCAAGCACAATCCCTCCCAATGCCTATTTGTGACTTGCTTTCAGTTTTAAGTTTAATACTATATGCCATATAATGATATAAATAATTTTCTTTAGAAAAGCTTTACAAACTTATACCTTCACATTATAAAACAAAAAGTAAATATAAAGTACTTACTGAATATATCTATCTATGATGTCGACAAGTAAACTCATAAGAATGATAGCAGGTAATATACTTTAACACTTGAGCTTATGGAAAATACGTCAAGATCAGACAATAATTTTTTTTCAAAATGTGAGCATATTTCCACATAATGTCTTCTGAATAATCAAACAATGTATGAAAACGTTAAAGAATAGTGATAACAGGAATCAGCAGTCACTAATCATATGCTCGTCAAACGAGTGGCGAATATTTCAACTCGAAAACAAACTGATAATATCAGGACAAAAAAAAACGAAAAGACATACAGTACACAAAACACAATAAAGAAAACTAAATACTGATTAATACGTACCCAACTTAAATCCGGGATTGGTTTCTGGTGCTCCTGGAGGGTAAGCAGATCATACTTCACATGTTACTCCTATAAAATATGTTGATAAGTTACCGTATATCAACCGATTAGACAACACGCAATAGTGGATTATTATTTAACTCTTATCTAACCCTAAGTCATCACCAAATTTTAGACCATTGACAGTATAATTCTTTCTTATTTCATAGGTATTATGAAAAAGAAGATCAAGTACATACAATCGCATGTAACCTATTTTAATTTCCCATCGATCTAGGGACAAGGTCATGTTTGCATTTTAAAATTACTGAAAAAACATTAATAAGTTAGACTTCGAAGAGCATATCTAACTATAATACAACTAGCCGTTTTCTTTGCGTTCTTTGAAGTTGATATTCACTACAAAAAAAATCGATGTGTTTTACTAAACACACAAAAGCATAATGATGCCAATTTGCAGATTGTTGTTTTTTTGAGGGGCAATTTTAAAAGCTTCAATCGAAGCCTGTTTCCAGAACAATATAACATTAATTGCAATTAAAATTGACTAAAATGTCCTTCAGTTATAAATAAAGGCAACAGTAGTATACTGCTGTTCAATAGTCATAAATCGATTAAGCAAAAATAAATCCAGGTCACAAACCAAAACCGAGGGAAACACATCAACTATAAGAGGAAAACAACGGAATAACAGAAACACTGAACTGCAACAAAAACAAACGCCAACATACATAGAAACGGACTTTTTTTATATCAACTGCCATATTCCTGACTTGGTACAGGACATTTTAAGAATAAATGGTGGGTTGAAATTGGTTTTATGGCTAGCCAAACCACCCGCTTATATGGCAATGTTTAAAATACCGCTAAAATGAGAACATTACGTGACAGGAATACGGTACAAATAAACGCAAGAACACTAAGGACAGAGAAACACATACATAACAAATATGAAATAGTACATTACAACATGTAAACCACAGAATAACAACGGACACCTCCTATGAATCCACGACAGCACACCAGGACACCACACACCAATAATAAACTGTGCATCACACGAATGTATCAACGCCACAATAAACGGCTCATAATGTTAACCCCCCCGAGAAACATTTGGATTGCATTGCAATTTTTATCAGTTTTGAAGGATAATTAGGACTTGCAAATTTCTGTAAATATTGCGCAATCAACCTGTTAATTTGCTTTTGATTTAGAACTACTGTATTGTGTTCTATAAGATTCGTCATTGAAAAACAAATCATCGAACAAGGACCATGAAAGGTCATTTTTCCCTTGATTCCCCAAAATTTATGAATCTTCATTTGTAACCTTTGACTTTGATTTAAAGGAAAGTGCACCATACGAATCATTGACGACTGGATTAAACAGAAAGAACATATATTAAGCTGATATATAATATAGCCGTATGTTTGGTGGGTGGATTAAAGTCATTAACTTCAGAGGCTTTATGAAAAAATGTCACTCGTCTATATCCGGCCAGCACATTTGACACAAAGCATTGATTTAAATTGCAAGTTGTTAGTTCATAGTCTGTATGAAGGAATAGCATACTTAATGAAACACAACCTGATTAACAGAGGAAGGAAACAAATTTAGGGGGAATATTTAGTTAAGAATATATTGTATGAATCGGGACAATTTGGAGCTTTGTATGTTCTATACAAATTTATTTAGCACCGTAGGTTAACTATATGCTATTCTAAATGACGTTCAGTCCACTTCTCCATTTATTCTATTCTTACTCTAAAATCTCCCAATAAACTCAATTTCGCAAGAAATATCTTAATGTACCAAACTGTCTCGTTGTTCAGGATTTACAGCTACTGTTGTTAGAAGCTATTATAGCAGATCGTGTTGACTACGTGTCAGTGATGCTTCAGAATGGAGTCGAATTTGATCCTACACACTTTGATAAATTGTATAACGAGGTTAGTTATAAAGTGTTTAAGCTGCTGAATACATATCGAATAATGGCATTTTTAATTTTGATACTGATTTTATCAGCAAGAATATCAAGCATCTTTTTATAGGCAATTTGTCTTAATTTTTTTTTTATTGTTGAGAATATGAAGTAAAATGAAATAATAAGTAAAATGAAATAATAAGTAAAATGATTTAAAGTGCTTCGATTCATTTCTCCCAGCTTTTTTCTTGTAGACATTAAAGTGTGAAAATTGTAAAGCAACAGACTGTCGCAAAATTCACTCCATACACCACGTAAGTATGACGATTATTTACTTTCACAATTTATAAATCAGATTAAAAAAATTGCGCGGACATTGAATGTTTGTATATTTCTTATTTTGTAAATGGGATTTACATTCATGTACACTTTTTATTTTCACTAATTATATTGATTTAAATTCATTAAAATGCATTTTGTTTGTTTCTTTATTTCACTCGTTTGGTGTGTTTGAACTTTTGATTTTGCCATTTGATAAGGAACTTTCCGTTTTGAAGTTTCATTGGAGTTCGGTATTTTGTTACTTTTATTTTTCACATTTTATCTTTTAGAAGCTTCCTATATCCGATAATTTAAATCCTTTTGTTTACCCATAAAGTCTCCTGGTGTGATACATAAACATCTTTGAATACATATAACGCATTTATTTTGGTCGAAGGGTGTGGTCTAGATTTTTCAGAAGGAAAAAATAAAATAACAGAAATACCGAACTCCAAGGAAAATTCAAATCGGAAAGTCCCTTATCAAATGGCAAAATCAAAAGCTCAAACACATCAAACGAATGGAAAACAACTGTCATATTCCTGACTTGGTACAGGCATTTCCTTATGTAGGAAATGGTGGATGGAACATTGGAGTTAGGGATTTTTGTTATTTTACTTTTTTCTCCTTCATACATAACTCCTTTGCCGGGTCTGGTTATTTTTTGGTTTTATCAGCTCTTCAACGTTTGTATACGGGTTTGGACTTTCACATAGTTCTGGCTTCGAGTATTAACGAAGAGACATTAATTGTCGAAATGCGAAATTGGTGCAAAAAAATTTGTGGCGATAATGTTATTACTGTGTACTAGAAAAACACTAGGAAATCTTCAAGTTTAATCTGTTATAGACTATTTGACTTATCTCGTCAACAAAGTAAATTCTTTGAAACTGTAACAGAAAAGAAAACGATCACTCGGTGTAACAAAACACTACAAGGAAAAAAAAGAGGCAACCATTATCAAACGACAAACGACGACGAGCAGTGCATAAATTAGCAACAAAAAAGAAAAACCAATTGAGCTAGACGAACTCAACTTAAAACTTTGATAAAATCAGTTGCTTCGAAGTTGTAAGCAGTTCTAAATCCACCCACTTTGATTTCGAGGAAATTTTAACGGGTTACTACAAATGTTTCATTTCCGAGGTCATCTGAGACACAAATACATGTTTTCCATACCGCCTAACCGCACCATAATGGTGTCCATTAAACTTTCGAAGAGGTTACCTTATCGTTGCCAAAGAAACCCTTACTTCAAATGGTTTCTTGGAAGCAGGTAGTTATTATCAAGGAAATCATGATTAGAAATGCAAGCCTTTGATAAACAAACAACTTTTATAGGTGCCGCTGGAATTCTGCTACACATAGAAGTGGAAAGTGTCTAATTCGTTATTTGTATAAATCCTGTCTTTTGTTTTTTTCTTCTTCTGTGAATAAGAAACATTGATTAATTTAATATGTATAATTTATAAATACATGAACCGTTGATTCATTACTAATCGCAGGCTACCAATGTTCGTGGATTTCGTATTTAAAGGTAAACCACGATTTTAAATTTTCAACGAGTTTCAAATTTTCTATAGGCTCAGTCAAATATCCACAAAAAATACTTTTTGGACTTAAACCACGAAAACTGATACCTACGAAAATAAATTAATCAACAGTAGGTGAGTGGTTATATAAAGAACGAAGTAAGCTTCACAGAAGGCCGTAATCAGTCTACTTTTATATATATATAACCAGCGAGCACTAAAATCCTTTGAGATATTCTTATATTCGGTAAGCATACTGGAAAAATGTACGCATAAAATTGAAAATGGTGATAAATAATAAACTTTACATTATAATAAAAACTATTTAGCAGTTTCTTTTTAGAGGAAACATAAGACAGGTTTTCGAAAATTGGCATTGAAACTAGTATTTAACTGTGAAGGGAATTTTTGCAGATCTCCTATTCATTAATACTTTTTTTTTTTATTTTATAATTCAAGCATTAAGTACATAAAAGAAAAATGAAATGTAGCTATTAAGATATTCTTCGACATTTTCTACCTGCAAGTCTTTGAACCTGAGATCACCCCCAGTTTTTGGTGGGGTTCGTGTTGCTCAGTCTTTAGTTTTCTATGTTGTGTTTTGTGTACTGTTGTTTTGTTTGTCTGTTGGTCTTTTTTTTAGCAACGGCGTTGTCAGTTTATTTTCGACTAATGAGTTTGAATGTCCCTCTGGTATCTTTCGCCTCTCTTTTAAAACAATTTCGAAATCTTCCATCTACATATACGTAGATATACCCAAAAGCGAGTATTTTACAGTACATTATAAATCGTATGGAGTCGCAAAATTTGAATTGTTGAAAAACACAAATGAGAATATATCATTTTATATCAGCATCTAAATCCGCAAAAGACAAAAAAACAGGTGTTAGACATGTGTCGGGAGGTACGCATATCAAAGGAGTTATTCCCGGTCAATGTGCGACATAATATCATAATCAGATAACTGGAAATCCCCTGTTTGTAGCTCGTGCTCTCTGTATTAAAAGAGAAATATGCGTACATGTCTCTCCTGGTGCGATACAATTTTCTTGTTTTTTAAGTAAATAAATTATCTATGGATATATAATGCTTATTTTCCATTTTTATATAGAGAGTCACTGCTGACGTTTGTGAACAAATCTGGTGTACCTGTGGTGATAATAAATGCATACGTCACGCAGAAGGTGAAAAAAGCAGCAAAAGTCAAAAAGAAAAAAATATAAGTAGCAAACGTCCAGAAAAAAAACAAATCTGTTCTACCTCCAGTGAAGATAAATGCAAACGTCCTACAAAAGGAAATACAACTAGTAAAAGATCAGCAGACGCATGTAAATCAGCACGAATCCGCCACAATGGACGTTTAATGTGTCAACAATTGCTTAATTATGCCACAAGTAAGAATTAATTTATGACCAAAGGTATCAGTAGACAGTATAAATGAGTTTCAAAAATATTCTGCCTAAGTGTTGTTTATTAAGCGATAGGTACTTGTATTACTTTATCTGAAAAATGTTGAAAATTTTGATTTTGGTAATAAGTTTTGTTATATTTTTTTGGGAAAAGTATGTACTTATCAAGATTTTAGTAGAGAATAAACTAATTATATATTTGATTTTATTTTGGTATCATAAATACATTTTCTTTTGACCAACGTATGAATGAATAGAAGAAGTAGCACTGGAATAATTGCACTACTAAGTCAATTTAAAATATTGCGGGGGAAATAAGTAATCAAAGCAGAAATGGCAACATTAAAACGGCACATTCGTCACTGCAGATAGTGGACGAAAATACATAAGATTGTCTTTGTAACTATGGTATCGTTCAAAATGAAAATACAATATAAATTTCAACAAATTTTGACCAGCAGCAATATTCCAAACCAAAATGATTTGATCCGTACACGCCGATGAGGTAACGATTAAGAACATAGCAAAAATTTAATGATTTGTATAACTGTAATATCCAGCTTGGTCTGCTTTTGAAACATTGATTAAACATTTTGATGAAGGACCAGTGTAAGAATTTTTTTCAAAAAGTAAAATATTTAATGCAATTCAGTTAACCTTCTGGACACTGTGAATATGCTATGTCTGCTTACTGCTTATCAACTGATGGTTGCGATTGACTGCCGCATCTCGTTTCCAAAAACAATGAAAACAACACGTTTTAAAATTCATGGGTTCGAAGAGCTTTTTTTCTGAACTTACCTTCATCAGTTTCGCTCAAAGCCAAATATTTGATAGTCAAGGATGTATAAGAACCGAAATATTTGAAGACCTATGCAACCAAAAACGACCTAAAAATATAGATAAATTTATCTAAGGTCAACTTTGACTGAGGGAGTTGAAACCTTGGTATCTTTATAGTTTCAAAATTTATAAAAATAAAATGTAAAAAAGATTTTGATTAAATAAAGAATCCAGAAGTTTTATAATTTAATATCTTGAAAATTATGCTTTTACTTTTACAATTGGACAGTACATTTGTTTTGCCTCGTATAAACCTCATTTGTTCTTTATAAATCTTCATACTAAATATAAGTGACAATGACACTTTGATTCATCATTGTTAAATGGAATCTTGCTTTCCCCTTGTAATGGTAATATTCAAAATACAAATCTATATTTAAAAATAATAAATGACTTCCACAATATCGTGGGCATTTGAAGTTAACTTTACTTTCTGGTTTTTAGCTCACCTGGTCCAAAGGGCCAAGTGAGCTTTTTTCATCACTTGGCGTCCGTCGTCCGTCTTCGTCGTCCGTTAACATTTACAAAAATCTTCTCCTCTGAAACTACGGGGCAAAATTTAACCAAACTTGGCAACAATCATCACTATGGTATTTAATTTTAAAAATGTGTTCGATGACCCCGCTTGCCAACCAAGATGGCCCACATGGCTAAAAATAGAACATAGGGGTAAAATGCAGTTTGTGGCTTATATTTCTGAAACTAAAGAATTTAGAGCAAATCTGACATACAAAAAATCTTCATCAGGTTAAGATCTATCTGCCCTGAAATTTTCAGATGAATCAGACAACCCGTTGTTGGGTTGCTGCCCCTGAATTAGTAATTTTAAGGAAATTTTGCAGTTTTTGGTTATTATCTTGAATATTATTATAGATAGAGATAAACTGTAAACAGCAAAAATGTTCAGCAAAGTAAGATCTACAAATAAATCAGCATGATCAAAATGGTCAAGTGACCCCTTAAGGAGTTATCGCCCTTTATATTCATTTATTAACAATTTATCGTAAATTTTGTAACCTTTTAAAAAAATCTTCTCTTCTGAAACTACTCGGCCAAATTTAGCTAAACTTGGCAACACTCATAACTAGGGTATCTAGTTTAAAAACTGTGTCCGATGACCCCGCCCACCAATCAAGATGGCCGACATGGCTAAACTAGTACATAGGGGTAAAATGCAGTTGTTGCCTTATGTCTCTGAAACTTAAGCATTTAGTGCAAATTTGACAATAGGTAAAAATGTTCATCAGGTTCAGATCTAGATACCATAGTGATGATTGTGGCCAAGTTTGGTTAAATTTGGCCCAGTAGTTTCAGATGAGAAGATTTTTGTAAAAGTTAACGGACGACGAAGACGGTCGGCGGACGACAGACGACGGACGCCAAGTGATGTAAGGAAATTTTGCAATTTTTTGTTATTATCTTGAATATTATTATAGAAAGAGATAAACTGTAAACAGCAATTATGTTCAGCAAAGTAAGATCTACAAATAAGTCAACATGACCAATATGGTCAATTGACCCCATTGTACTCTTTTACAAAAATCTTCTCTCCTGAAAAAACTGAGACAAATTTAACCAAACTTGGCCACAATCATCACTGGGTATCTAGTTTAAAAAATGTGTCCGATGACCCTGCCTGCCAACCAACATGTCAGACATGGTTTAAATTAGAACTTAGGGGGGAAATGCAGTTTTTGACTTAAATCTCTGAAACTAAAGCAAATGTATAACGGTTGCATTATTTTATGCATCAATAGTAAATAAAAATATCAGGTGAGCGACACAGGCTCCTTGTAGTCTCTATTTTTTTTGTTTTTTTTTTTTAATATGTCTTGTTCAGTGCTAAAATTCATATAAAGACTATTAATGTGATACCATTGTTGTTTGATCCAATGTTGTTTCATTTCCGCGCACAACATTATAAGCCTGGTATCTTTAATGAGTTTTAAGGTACAGATACATGTACGTTCTGGTTTAGATCTGGTTATAAGTCGGTCAAATAATATTGATTTCCGAAGCTAGTTTTACAAGAGACACTATGCAAAGAGTAAATTTTTTTACTTTTCTTCAATTTGTGCAACAATTATAAAACAAGTCGAAATATGTGATTGACTCTAAATAGAAAACGAGGTTACTGTTGTAATAGACATTTTGCTTCCCACATTAATTCATGCCATTTTGTAGTGTAAGAGTAAATCTTGCTCCATACAAACATTCTTCCGAGATCACCCCCAGTTTTTGGTGTGGTTCGTGTTGCTCAGTCTTTAGTTTTCTATGTTGTGTTTTGTGTACTGATGTTTGTTTGTCTTTTTCTTTTTAGCCATGCCGTTGTCAGTTTTTTTTCAACTTGTGAGTTTGAATGTCCCTTTTTATCCTTCGCCTCTCTTTTTCTATAAATTAGTTAATACTAGACATGGTTATAATATTTACTCAGAACAATCTCTTACGTTTGAGTAATAAGAGCTTTTGGCTCTGTTTTCTTATTGATTTGCAACTATATATGAACTGAATCTTGGATTTGGTATATACATAAACTCTTCATAAATACATGGTGTTATGACATAAGTATCTACAGACATCAAAGGTTCCGTCTTGTTTGCTTTTAATCGAATAAATAAGTGCCACTGTACTTCAAACATTGTTTCGCTGTTGATATTCCACAAAAATGTTTTACGAAATTTTAACATGTCTGATAATTAAATAAAAAAGTTGCAAATGGTTACTCTCAGAACTGTGCCAAACATATTTTGATGATTACTTTGTTTACTAACAGTTACAAGGGAGGACAGATCTTGCCAACAATGTAAAGTACATCCAACAAACGATGGAGATGCAGGTATGCTCATACACTTTCCTTGTGGTTCAAGTTAAAATTAGCAATAAATATATAAACATTCAAGAGTAATCGTTTGCAGAAAGATCCAGAAGGAGCTAAGAAACGCTTTCATTATAATTGCTTAAATATGAAGTATGATCAAAATTATAATAAAATTGAGAATGGAAGACTTCTTTAAGTTTATTTGAAAAAGAGTATTGGCGGTAAACATCTACCATGTACATTTTCATTTCCATACGAATTAAAAAAGGTTTAACGTACCATGTTTTACACTGGATAAATTTGGAAGTATAAGCATAACATTTGCTAAAAATTTAAGTATTTGTAAATAAACTTAAAACTCGTAAACTTGTTATACACAGGTGAAGATATATGTTGCGAACAGTGTAAAGAACATCCGAAAGAAGATGGAAATGAAGGTACAAAATGTATAATTGAAAACATAATTTAGTGATTCAAGGCAACATTAGCCATTACAAACGCATACATTCAAATGTATTTTCTTCACAAAAGTCAAGTAAATAAGACACCTTAAACATCAGTTCAAACAGAACCTAAGGTTCCAACTCCTTTAAACAAATATAACCTTGAGTAATTTGGCTTTCTAGTTTCTTTTTGGTAATAAAGCACCTAATTTGGTTTGAGTGTTAATGCTGAAGGTAAATCAAGAAAAGTGCTTTGGAGGCATGACATTTTTTTATTATTATTTTCATTAAACACAATTGTTTATAGTTTAGATATTGAGTATAGTCAACTCATAAACCTCAGATAGCCTTGGTCTTGATAAAAAAATTATGGAGGAAGTCGAGGTTCAGAATATTTTTGAAATCCAGAAAAACGTTTCAGACGCATTAAAGTTATAAAAGAGGGACGAAAGATACCAGAGGGACAGTCAAACTCATACATCGAAAACAAACTGACAACGCCATGGCCCAAAATAAAAAGACAAACAGACAAATAATAGTACAGATGACACAACATAGAAAACTAAAGACTAAGCAACACGAACCCCACCAAAAAATGGGGGGTGATCTCAGGTGCTCCGGAAGGGTAAGCAGATCCTGCTCCACATGTGGCACCCGTCGTGTTGCTTATGTTATTACAAATCCGGTAAATAGTCCAATTCGGTAAGTCACATTCGTGAAAAGGGAAGGGTATTGTAGTTACGACATAAGGAACATATCCGATATCATATGTGAAACGATAATTCCATAACGGTCAACCAACTCGTGATGGCGTCCGTAAAATTTACGAAGGGATGATTTCAACTTCACCATTTGGAACTCTTGGCTTAATAGCTTCCTTGTGAGCAGCAATCCTCTATCAAGAAAATCATGATAGGAAACACAAGCCCGGGAATATCGTATCAATTGGGAGATATATACTCCGTATGCAGGCGCTGCTGGAATGTTGCTACATAGAAATGGAAAGTTCACAATTGGAAGGCTGAAATCATCTCTTTTGTCGTAAAGTTTTGTTTTCAACCGACCCTCATTGTCAATTTCTAGATGTAAGTCAAGATATGAGGCAGACTTAACTGTGTAAAGTGTTAGTTTAACCATTTAAGACATCAGCAAATAAAATATACAACTCATGTCTTCATGTTTAGTAAAATGGGCTACACATAGTATAGAGGGATAGTAATATTATATTTAGCTTTTTGTCGTTTCATTAAATATTAAATCATGTTGTTTGCTTGACGTATAACGAACTTTATATAAAATGTTTAGGGCAATTGGTAGTTTAAGGACTAGATTGTAGGTTACATTGTGTCTATGTTTTCCAGGATTCGATATGTCCCTGCGTTTTGTTGAAAAGAATTCCCACAATTAGTCTCAATACACGATAATTCTTCAGATGATAAAAGGAACAAGAGTTTCTGAAGTGACAACAACTACGATTAATAACACTTTTAATAAATAATGTTCATAATATGTCATCTGTCATTGGCCTGGACATTGTTACATTTACCTACATTTTGACAAAACACAAAATCGTGCAAGAAAGAATGATTGATTGATTGTTGGTTGCTAAACGTCCAGTGGCAAATATTTCATGCATGTTCAGGACGAGAACACATTAACAATAAATACAATAGGCAGGTCCTGTAACAGAGGACGTCCAGGATAAAGATCGGGAAAATTTTGAATTCCACTGGAATGTGAGGGTGAAGAGATAGAGATAGAGACAAAATTTTTGCTTTGCAACAGGCCACGACTCTTTTTCCAAGAAATCTTATAACTAAAATTTATGGTAGGTTACACTGAAATGTTCTTGCGAGAATTTTTCAATAAGGTCTAGTATAGGGTCTGATGTCATTTTGCTTAAATTTCCAACCAAACTCACATGGCGTGCCATTATTTGGGTTGGCAAAATTTGCTTATACCCAAACTTAGCTTTGCCATAGTGCACGTACAAATGTAGTACGTGTTGCTTAAAAACTAATTCACATAGCGGAAGCTTTATTACATTTTTTTCTTTATCTATACCCAACTGCTATCTTAGCAACTTTAAAATTGTTTTTCGATTTTTTGAACATGTATTTTAAGTCACATAACGTAGTAACAAACACCCTAGCATGATCTATAGCACTACTAACATAACCTTGTGGTAATGCTACAAGATTATTGAATTGACTTGCTTTTGTCCAATGGAGGTTAGATATCGACTTTTTACCGATTCCACAAAAACTAAAAGTGGAATAAAATCCACTCAAGACATGAAAGAAGGGCATAATTTCGGTGACAAGTGAGTCAAAAGACGAAATACTGGAGTGAACTTGGATAAATCGTCTGTTATCCTTCAAGCTGTCAATTGAACCAGTCTGAACACACACTTCTTAATTTGTGTAATTTTAAGCATCAGGTAGAAATGGATAGTCAGAACAAGAACATCAGTATCATCTGATTTGATAATAAGTCTATCTTTACCGTCTTTTCCACCAAACATAGCATCAGCATGAAAAGCATGCAAAATCATTGTGGTATCTGCCTCTTCATTGTTACAACGTGAAGCCGGAAAGCTTATGACTTTACCGTCTGTCAGCTTTTAAACAATTTCGATTTTGCTTTGATGTTATTCGCGGCTTTAAAGGCATCGCCAATAGAAATGACGCTTGCAAATTAAATATTCGATTAACCATGTCTTTGTCTATAAAAGAACACTATGGCATCTGTAGTGCTTCTCAAGTTTAGCCTTCAGTTTAGAGTAATAGCAGTAGTTCTTACTAATGTTATTTTGTAAGAACGACTGATCATTATTAACATTAATTACAAAGCAAGAGTCTATTTGTCACGAATAAGGTCTTTGTCTATGATTTTAACTACTCTTTGAGTAATTTGGTCAGTATGCCCAGCATGTGGTCATACATGCAGCACAATATTATTGAGCAAATTCTCAATGCTGAATTTGGTATTTCATAGAAGCGTCGCCTGCTCTAACAGCACCATTATTTAGATTTGCATATCTACCAGCATGGCTTGTAATGTTTTCACATTCTATGTGACATTTTCTTGCATATTTTACACTTTAATGTATCGCGAGGCCGGATCAACATTACTTTCAACCAACAAAGAATTAGATAAAACTGGCTCCACGTCTGGTTCTTCCTTCTCTGGTGCTACTGATTTCAAATTCTGTTTACGTTTTAGCTTTTAAAACAAGACCTGTGATACCACAGTATTGTTGAATCAGTTTACGTAGCATTTCATTGTTCATTGATATGAATAAATAAATCATCATGTCTCATCATGCTCACTGCTGTGGCATTTAGCAGACTTTTTTTTCTAGATTATGTTGCTATTCTTAAAATTCAGTAAATACAAAATTGCAGGCAAAGTATTTGTCAAAACCAATTTAACGAACTAGTCATGCTAGTGTAATTGTCATTTTTACTTGAATATCCAAAATGTCCTTATAATGTATGAAGTTCAAGAGTAACTATATTAACCAATTTAGTTCACTAATCATGTTTAGAAAAGGTTTAATTATGAGATTAATCTATCTTCGATGACAGTTAGGTAACGTGGGTGAAGGTAGTTCTTAACGTCATTGACACCACATTTGACATTTACGAGAAATAATTTTTTGAAGTTGAATAATCGATAGACATTTTAAGACATTAATAATCAAAAATGAAAGACAAGAATATAAAAATGACCATAGCATAATAACACAATGGCGGGATGTATAAATACCTAGCCACAATAAAAGTATATTAACTGAAATGAACTTAACAGTAAAGGTTAAAAATATACAAAGAGAAGTGTACCTTACATTACATGTAATTTTATAATAATTATATATTATATATATAAACAAAAACAAAAAATGATTAAAAATTAATTTTGAACAAGGAGAAATAAAAAAACTAAAGCACACATTCAAAATTGTAATTATTATTTTACTATCTAATACATTTTATCTCAAATATGACTTACATGCGAATTCCAGCTAACTGCACCTGATCGAACCCACGATCAGAAAACCGCTCAAATATAATCATTAAATATTTAATATGGTTAAAATAATGTAACATTTATTTTGGGGACATTTAAAGGAATGTTACATTGAAAGAATTTGAAACATTTTTCATTATAGGCAAGATAGAATTTCAAATAAATGGATTTTGATAATCATATAGTATTATATTTGTTTTATTGTTTTATTGTTCAAAGAATATGAAATAATTTTGCAGGTTATTTCAGTGACCTGTTAGCATGGGCATTGTTTACTAACAGAGTAGAGTTGGCTGGAGTATTCTGGTCAAAATGTAAAAATCAATTACGTACGTATGTTTATATAAAAATATGAAAGGAAATCGATAGACCTAGACACTAACCTGATCAAGGTAAAACAAATTATGTACCGTATTATCATGTTGAAATATATTTTATTGAAATATTTAAAAAATTTTCACATTTACAAATGCGAAATTCTGCATTATTGTGATGTTATTGAAATTTTGTTTGACCAAAGTATTTAACACTGCAAAACTCTAGATGTGTCAGACGCTACGAATGTCCCGGTATGCTGTCCAAGTCAAAGCTGGTAGTTCCGTTTTCCAACGGACCAATCCGATTCAGCTAATTGTAGTATAAGAACTATTGACCATTATACACATGTTAACTTAGAAGAAACTCAATCACTAAACATTACAAAAAAGGTTTGTAGATTTAAGAATCACATACAAGAAATGACTGCTGAATAATGGAGACATACAAAAAGTAAGTGCTGCACAGAAGGATAGGAAATACTTATCGTTTAAAAGTTGCATAAGGTTTTGAAATTTCAAACATTTTGTCCTCGAGCATCACTGAAGAGACAGTAATTTCCAAAGTGTGCATCTGGTGCAATAAAATTGGTAATGGTAATATTGTTTTACATATATATATTCCTACAAATACGATTAACCTTAAAGGAATAACTCACAATGATATATGCAATTATGCCAGGTTTTGGTTGGTGAATACGAGGGATATATTCTACTGTATCTGATAGATTATATTCTTTGTCCCTTCATGATGATGCTTGATCAAAGGTGCGTTTTATTAAATACAGATGATCACAGATGTTTACTATTCACATGACGTCATACTTCATTACTTTCAATCTAAAATTAAAAAAAAAACAATAATGGTTGGTATAATAAATTAAATAACACATAGCTAAAATGTAAAATACCAAAAATACCGAACTCCATTGAAATTCAAAACGGACAGTCCCTTATCAAATTCGAAAATCAAAAGCTCACACACATCAAACGAATGGAAAACAATAGTCGTATTCCTGACTTGGTAGAGGTACTTCCATATGTAGAAAATGGTGGATTAAACCTGGTTTTATACAATGTAGCTATCTAAACCTGTATGACAGTCGCATTAAATTCCATTATATTGAAAACAATGTGTGAACAAAACAAACGGACATAATAGGTAAAAATGTCAAAAATAGGGGTAAAGCAGTCAACATTGTATTATAATCTTAATCACTATAAAACAAACAAATATGTCAACAAAGAAAAATATAATGGCATATATAGACAAAGCAAAAATGAAAGAGAAGAATACTAAAAATGACCATTGCACAATAACACAGTGGAGGGATGTATAAGTACCGAGCCACGCCAAAAAGGATTTTACCAAAATTCGACTAAACAGTAAAGGTTAATAATTTACAAGACAAATAAAAGAACACAATAATACGTAATTAAGATGATAAACAACGTCAGTACCTAGAATCTATACTTCAAAACCCTCATGTATTATTTGTGAAGTTATTTATCAACAAGGTAGTAAGAGAGTAATAGAGCAGATTGTATCCCCTCGAAAAGACATTGTCAATTTTGCCTTTGCCTCAATTAACTATGTTTTTTTTTTCTGATAAAAAATTGCTCTGTCACCATCTCTCAGCTATGTGTTAGTTATAAATTAATTAATTTTAGGTTTAATCAATTATCTTTAACATACAAAACTATATTATATATATAAAAAGATATGTTGGATAGACACAAATAATACCTAACAAAAAGTAAAAAAAAACAAAAAGCATCTATGGTTAACAAACGGTATCTTTGTTTTCCGAAAAGTGGTGTTGTGACAATTTCTTTTTTGTCATATCCATGGTGTGTGAAATCGAAATATCACATTATACCGATATAAAAAATTTTGAACTTTGCTTTAATATTATGCTATTTTCAATAACAGATTATTCAATACATGACAAGATAGATCATTTTCTCACATTGCAGTTACAGCGGTAATGGCTAGCAATTTGCTGAAAAATATGGCGGAAAATGCATCATCAACGAAAGACAGACAGCTTCATGAGGAACTCATGAATCATTCAAGGTTTTTTTTCAATTTTTCAATTATATGACTATAACATATACCTTATATATCTCTTTGTCTTACAAGTTGGCTTAAAGGAGGATTAAAAGAAAAGTTTTGGTATTAGTCATCGACACAAATAACCAAAATACATCTGATGGTCAACTTAAAATTTTAACAATTTACAATGTGTCAACACAATATATCTTGCGTTCGTATTTACGAATTGGTCAAACTTGCGAATGACAGAACCCAAATTCAATCTCCGTTATCATGATCACTGGACACATACAAGACAAAAAAAAAGGAAATAGAAACCAAGAAAAGCGTTTAAAAATAAAATTATGGTAAAATGTAACAAAACACAAGTAAAAATATCATTAATAAACATTTGTACACCGTACAATATAACGCTCACAGCTACTACAGCTATGCAATCCAAAATTACAAAAACACACCTAAATAATGTAGTCAGTCAAATATCGATGCATATACTTATAGAAGGTTCTATAATGCATCGTCAAACTTAGAATAGGAAACCATAATCATGTGCAACTGTACAGAAATAGATAAATGCAATGCAGAAAAGTACAAGAAATCTGCCTCAAACTATAAAGTAGCGAATACACGTTCACCGATAAAAAAAACATACAAGGTGATTGAACCAACACCAGCATGACCAGTATAAGTGAAACCTTTACCAGTGTCTGGATCAAGTTAATTTCAAAATTGAAGAACAATTAAAACACTTAAAAGTTTTACAAAAGTTAAAAACGTACCATAAAAACTGGTTATATATTTTTTTTTTATTAAGTACTGCGGTTGATGTGATGCCTCCAGTTCACAATATTTCTACTGTCGAATCTGTCAATTTTTACGAATGATTAGCAAAGGGAAACTAGGAGTCCAGACCCCTGAAATTGTAAAAATAGTTATAAGTTATTAATTAATTTCAAAATTATTTTGACTTAATTGATAAATAAACAAGTTAGAATAATATGGACACTTAAGTGCAGAAAGGCGGCTAGTTATGTAACTATCGAGTCATAAATATGCCAATATATACATAATTTAATCTAATAATTTATTTCAACAGAATGGGAACCAATTGTGCCCCTCTTCTTGCCGACTTGTTTCTTTATTATTATGAGGCTGACTTCATACAGGAACTTCTTAGGAAGGAAAGATAAGAAGTTAGCAATATCCTTTAACTCTACGTTCCGCTATATAGATGATGTTCTCTTACTAAATAATACAAAATTTGGTGACTATGTTGAACGAATCTATCCCATCGAACTAGAGATAAAGGATACTGCAGATACAGTTAAGTCTGCCTCATATCTTAACTTATATCTAGAAATTGACAATGAGGGCCGGTTGAAAACAAAACTTTACGACAAAAGAGATGATTTCAGCTTCCCAATTGTGAACTTTCCATTTCTATGTAGCAACATTCCAGCAGCGCCTGCATACGGAGTATATATTTTCCAATTGATACGATATTCCCGGGCTTGTGTTTCCTATCATGATTTCCTTGATAGAGGAATGCTGCTCACAAGGAAGCTATTAAACCAAAAGTTCCAAATGGTGAAGTTGAAGTCATCCCTTCGTTAATTTTAAAACGAGTTGGTTGACCGTTATGGAATAACCGTTTCACAGATGATATCGGATATGCTCCTTATGTCGTAATTACAATACCCTCCCTTTTCACGAATGTGACTTACCGAATTAGACTATTTACCGGATTTGTAATAACATAAGCAACACAACGGGTGCCACATGTGGAGTAGGATCTGCTTACCCTTCCGGAGCACCTGAGATCACCCCCCATTTTTTGGTGGGGTTCGTGTTGCTTAGTCTTTAGTTTTCTATGTTGTGTCATCTGTACTATTATTTATCTGTTTGTCTTTTTATTTTTGGCCATGGCGTTGTCAGTTTGTTTTCGATCTATGAGTTTGACTGTCCCTCTGGTATCTTTAGTCCCTCTTTTAATCTAAAATGGACATTTCATGAATAGTTTTTGGACATAATATATATCAGCAAGAGGTTTATCCATAAAATAAATTTCCTTATTATACCTCCTCATTTAGATTCATCATTGAACCAAATATTTGCTTGATTTAAAAAATCCTCATTTAAATAGTATAACATAGTCTTACTCACTTGGCATTCTTCATACAGTTTGTACGATATGATGATAAGAATATATGGACCATGAGCAGTATGATGGTTACCAGATTGTCCACTGTCATTAGAGGGTCCTGTGAAAATACATTTTAGCAATTGTAAATCCTTAAAGTAACTGATTTCGATATGCAATGTCTAGGAAAAGCGATATGTAATATTCATTTATGAATTTTATCATGTGTACAACTTTGAGAAACCGTTCTCGTCAAAACTATTTTAAGCATTTTTGAGAAAAATTTCCACATTGAGTTTAAAACGGCACACTGAGATTACAAAAACATTAAGACACACACTTACAATTTACGTACTGAGATTTTATCAAAACACTCCAACATGAAGAAAAGTAAATTTGTTCACTGAGAATAAAAAAAAAATATATCACTGAGAATTTAAAAATAAACACTGAGATTAAATATTTGTCATAGGTACCTTAGGTTACTTATTTTTATAATGTGTGTGAAATATTGACCTTTTGTGCCGAGATTTAACACACACTGCTAGTTCATTTACTGTCCCTAAGTTATCAATCCTACCCACACTTAAGAGTACGGATAGTATAGATGAAATTATTTCATTACAAACATGGAATAAAATAAATGCAACAAAAAGCGGTTAGAGGCACCAATCGGATTAGAAAAGAGATTCCAATTATAAAACACACTGTATAGTTATTGAATAATTGTAATGTCTTCTTTAAATGTTAAAATAAACTAATATCCATGTTTGGGCACACAACACGACATGGTGACGTTTTTACACTAATGACTAAGCAAATTTCAGTAAATCATGGAGGCTTTCAATAGGCTTGTAAGGAAATATTTCATACTTTTGCACTCTTCAAGAATTACATTTGTCTCCGTCTACCCAAAAGAAATCGGTTTTAGAAGAATATACTTAACTATGTGCTGATGGATAAAAAATGTTTGGGAAAAAAAAGAAAAAAAATAGACTGGAGAAAAGATATTGCGGAAAATTAATAAAATGCAGAAGCCTTAAAAATATATGGCTGTACCGTATTATCACCTGAAAATTACAGAACAAAAATTTTTTTTCTATAATTCTACTTTAATCGACAACTGCACAGTTGACACCAATTTTTATTTTGAAACTTTGTCTTGCCTAAGGATTCTTAAAAATACGATGATATCACATTTATTGAAAAATATATGTAAACCCATTTAAACTTTTATTTTATTGAAAAAACTTATAAAAACAAATGGCAAACGTAAATATAAGTCACTGTATATTGTCTTAGGGAGGGATAAAGCGTACTTTCTAAATCTCTGAAACTGACGTTGTCAAGATGCTTGATTTCTTGATTGACAACTTATTTGTTACCATTTAATGACGTGTTTTTCAACAAACAATCAGCATTCCTATGGGAACCAGCTGTTTTCGACTTATGAGTTTGAATAACTCTTTGACATCTTTCGCCTCTATTTTATATATTAAGGTTGCCTATATTAAGGTTGTTATCGATCTTTTAAAGCTAAACTCATGATTAAACACAAATACTGCCCTTTAATTTATGGTCAAACCTGCAGCAGATACTTAACATAATGACATCTCTTTATAAAGTTACACTTTTCTTCGACGTTAACAATTCTTTTCACTTGTCTGTTATATGGCTAACAAATAAAGAACAGGTTAAAAACAAACTTTTTATCAACTGAACTATGGATTTTAACTGGCTTTTTCAGTATTTGGGATTTACTTGAATCGGTATGTTTAGTCTTTGTAGAACGCGTGAGATAACTTTGGACACAAAAGGTCACCTATGGTCAGATTTATTTCTCATTATTTTCAACCATGAAATACATATAGAACCTATCCGTCCTAAGCATACATACTAATAAAATACTTGCGCACACAGCTCAGAGTGCGATTATTATTTCTCATTGTGTGCTTTTCATTTCCTAACCTGGGTCCTAAGTTTTTAATTCTTAGGTGAAATTTCAATTCATATTGTGTTTTTCATTTCCTAACCTTGGTGTGAAGTTTTTAATTCTTAGGCGAAGTTTCAATAATTAATGTGTGTGTTTTTTGGTTTTTTTTATATAAAGGCGGACTTTTCCAATATCAGTGTGCTTTTACTTCTATACGCATCTCAGTATTGCTAGGCTACAATTGCGGTGGCCAATGGTCTACCCATGTTTGTCTGCCAGAAATCTGTGTTTTAAACTTAACAGGTGTACTAATACTTGGTTAAAAGAAGATGATGGATTCCGGGTCGAATGCAATGGGATTGCAACCACACTGAACAAAAACAAAAAACAGCTGTTAAGGTTTGATGTTTAACGTTTAATGTATTATATATTGAGCATTCGTTATTTTATGGCTAATTTGGCTTTACAGTTGATAGTAAATTAGTGTATCGTTTTGGTATAAAAGTAATGCAACGCCTATGTATCGTTAGGTTATTTGAGGAGAGAGTTATTCATATGCAGACCGCATTGTATGAAGAAAGTGAATACGAGGCGATGTTGCTTATGGAGGTAATGGAAAAAGCCTGGGGAATACAAGTTTCCCCAATGATTTGTGCATATGAACACAATATGATAGATGTTATTGGTCATCCCTGCATTCAACGGCATCTTAACAGGATATGGTACAATGAACAAACATGTTTGTCTATCGACACATCTGCTGCAGCAGCAAAATGGATGGACTGGTTGGGGGTAAGAGCATTTTAAACAGTGTTTAGCTTAAAATGATTGTAATGGCTTGAACAATGTTTGAATTCTGGCAAAAAGTTCTTTAAATGTAATATTGTTTCTGACTTTTGAATTCCTTTTTTGTATTGTTGATAGTATAATTTGTTGTATAATTAACAACTAAAAATACACTTAGGAAAACATATTTAAGATGCTTTCAAATAAATGAGATGTTTAATGTGAAAACATTTGTTTTTCAGAATGCCTGCTGCTGTTGTGTCAATGGACGTGATCCCTTCTTCAGAGCATGGTTTTCACCTCTGATGACATTTTTCATTCATTATGTAAATGAATTTATAATTATTTTTTGTTTCTCTTATTTTATTTTGAAATGTTTCTCTTTCGTGCATGAAATATTTTTCCGGATTGTTTATATATTTGGTCCTTTTTGGTTATATCAGCTTTTTAAGCTTTCGATTTTATAATATTTTGACCTCGAGCATCACTGGTGTTAAACTGATCGTGGTAACTGCAGTAACCACGATCCTAATATGGTGGAGGTAAACATATGTAAAATCGTTTTCGCTAATTTCTCCGTTTAAACATATTGTTTTCAAGAACTTCTAAGCCTCCTGGTTGATCTGTACGGTTTTCTTATGTGTGAGTGTTATAAAAATTATTTATTGACTCGTTACCAAAATAATAGCCATCGAAAATTTTTGGAAGATAATCGTAACTCCAAAAAAAGATAATGGTAACTTGTGAACAAATAATTTGAAAAATAATCGTAACTGCAGAATATTTCAATGTTAATAGTAACTGATTTTTATCAGTAACCTCCACTAACGGAATATTTGATAAAAAGATTGCGCCATAACAACGAACGCTATAGTGCTTTATCATTTTTTTGTTCACCACCATGCCACAATGGACGACTAAGATATGGTATGAAACTATGATGCACACAACATTTCTAATCTTTCCAACACAGATTTGATCACTTTATTAGCACGAATTTAGCTTGTTTAAAAATGTATGTATAGACATGATAGAATTGAATCAGAAACTTATAGTTGTTTAACTTTCAAAATAAAAAGATGTGGTATGATTGCCAATGAGACAACTATCCACCAGAAACCAAAAGAAGTAGATGTAAGGAACTACGGGTCATTGTACGGCCTTCAACAATGTGCAAAACTCATAGAGAAATCTAACAACAAGCACTAAATTACATTCTCCTGACTTTGGACAGGAGCATACAGAATGGATCAGGGTTAAACATTCTTGTGGACGATCTCCTCCCCTAACCTGGGACACTGGTGTAAGAGCACAACATAAGAACAGACTATGAAAATCTATTGAAAACGCTAAACGACTCACCAGATTGACACAAAGCAACAACAACAGAAACACTAAAGACACAAAGTGCAGATCTACAAGTATCTGCTGAATATAGGATCATAAGTGTTCAAACTGTTTAGGGATAAATATTTAGTTATGTTTTAATTTATTTATAACAAAATCAATGTAGGAACTGATAAAAACAATATTCAAAACTCTAATTACAATGTTGAATTTATAACCTTTTAGAAAAATTTTTAAAAAAAAGATTGATATACTGACATGGAGCGTACCTAAAATTGGTGTAAAGGTTACTCATAATTAATTTGACGAGAACTATATATGTTCTGATGATTGTGAACACTGCAAAAATAGTATTAGACATATATTGACAGGATGTTGCTATTTGGACAAAAGTAGAAAAACTTGTCAAATGACTTACTTTATTTTTCTTATACAAAGTAATCAGTTTAATAAAAACCGTACTACGGGAAACCTAAAAAAAACTATTGATCCAGTTGTTTGTATTTCCTGTCGTTCCATAGTGATGTAGCTTATGGATAAGTAGACTATGTCAAATGTCTTGAAAAAAAAATGACGAGGCAGTCCGGCGGCAGTTACTGTTTTATGCTGACCAGACATGTTGCATCTAAATTGTGTTTCATTTAATTCTTTTTTACCCGAGATTGCTTTTTTAAACTGTACATTTTTTATATAAGTTTTGTCTGATGAATCGTCATGTATAGTAATTCTGTTATTCTTATAATTGTGATATATTACTCCCATTTGAACGTTTATGCTTTATATAGGTCCAAACCCAAAACCAATCACTCGCCCAGTAACCAATACATGGGTACTGGCATTTAAATGTTTTTCATTGCTTATATAGAATTTGAGAAATCATTTAAATAAAGGAATATATCTCCCTCATGCAAAGCTCCGATTCCTTGTCCTGATTCGGGTATACTTTAGGTCCTTTATGGTTTTATCAGCTTTGTAGCGTTTGCATTAGGTTTTGGCCTCGAGCATCACTGAAGAGACATAATATGAGTTGTCGAAAGACACATCTGGTACCGTTAATCTTATAACTACCACCAGGTCGATATCTCTGTTAGTGAAATGTTAGTCCCAGAGAGTATCACCATCTCAGTTGCCAGTACTTTGGTATTATGGTACTGGCATACAAAAACGGATATTGATTGATTGAACTTTGTTGTTATAAAACTTTAAAAATCATTTAAATTAAGGAATATATCTTCTTCTTCTTTAGTATAAAATACACCATCAATATTTACCGTAAATTTTAACTTGTGAAATATATATAGACTATATCTACAAAGCAAAAAGTTTATTAGTTTGAGATAACCAATTATTCACCAATTCTTGTCACACTATCAAACTTTTAAGCAAGATTTAGATATAGTCACCGTCCCTATCAACAGATAAAGTTACGATTATCACTGATAAGTCACTATTGTCATGTCCAAATTACGACTATCTGATAGTTCAGTTACGATTATCATATCAAAAAATATTCATGGAGTTACGATTATCTTCCTTAAATTTTCGATAGCTATTATTTTTGTAACGAGGCCATTTATTACGGAAATGAGCATTATATAACCTGTAGTTAACCAATCAAGGAATAATAATATTAACATATCACTAAACAGAAAGAACAATTGACAATATGTAAAGAAAGGTCGTAACATTTGCCAATGTTTTTTCATTGAACTCTTCTAAATCATAACGTGGAGGGGGATAAACATGTGAGTTCCTTTTTCAATTCCACTTCACCAGGTTTGTTTTTTTATCGTATGAATTATTTTTTATGCACAGTTTAGGTATTTGTAAACACGTATTAAAGGTCTTTAATACTAAAGACATTACTTTTAAAAATATTGATTGTAAAAAATTTGTATCGCCTTTTCGATATTGCTTTTTTTATTTTGTAGATGTTTGTCATGGGAGTCATTGTGGGGTTTAGTGCTTTTCTGATGACGAACTTGAGAATCATATCTAGTATCTATGACATTGGAATTTATGAATGGCTGCTTTACTTGTGGCTAATTGCAGATATTCTAGAGGAGTTTTTTTTTCCAGTGAGTACAAAATTTGAGAATTACTTTGAATAAATTAAACTCTTCTATAATACATCATTCATTGTAATTACGTCTATGATTTTATGTACCGCTATTATAATTTAATTTAACATACATAAAATGATTATTGTATGTGCAGATTTACAACCTCAACAAGTAGGATCATACCGAGGGGACAGTCAAACACCATATCAATACAATAATACAATTTAAAAAAAAAATACCATAGACAATTGAAAAAAGACGAAAGGACAAACAACAGTCAACACCAACACAGGGAATAGTAAAATGAGGGTGGTAAAGGGTTATTTTCGTGCAACGTGTTTTGCCATTTTTATTTCACGTGCAACCGTGAAAAAGGTTCCTTATTCACCGTGTTTCGTGAAATCGGTAAAAAGATCAACGTGCAAGAAATTTTTAATTGTTCGTTCATCGTGAAATGGCAATTTGATTTTGCGTTCTTCCGTGCAGATACCCCCCCCCCCCCACCTTTACGCCCCTCTATAATGGAGAAACACAAATTCAACAAAAAATGTGATTGACCGAACGAGTCAGTTATTTCTGCTTGAGTGGTAGCAGTTGCTATGTTACTACTGTGAATATTTGTCGAAAATAGAATTTGAACATAACATATGCTCTTATAATATACAAGATAATAGACTGTGTGTCCGAGCGAGAACTTCTCTGTATTCATTACTTTTGGAATATTTATCTAAAACTCATATTTCACTATTCAGCCCCATTCTACTATTTATTCAGACGCCAAGCGCTACCCTGATATACCCTTTTTGTTTTTGTCCTCTGGTTTTGTAGTTTACGTATATTGTCGGGTACTTGATGACGGATAGCGTTTGACGTCTTTTTTTTCCCTTAAATTTTAAAACTGATAGAAATTGAAAAACTAAAAGTATTATCTATTTACTCACATGAAACAAACTGGGATGCGGTATTCAGTACGTAGGTGAAACTGGGCGCTATTTATCTAAACGCACACAAGAACACCTTTATCGTTTTAAAAGACCCCATAAATTCAAAAGTATCATTTATCATCACATTAAGAAGCACAATCATCCTATTAAATATTTAACAGTTCAACCTTTAGAAGTAGTAATTTATAAGCAGCCTGGGGAATCTCATTCAAAGTTTGTACGATCACGGAAAATAATTAAATTCAAAGTACTTTTTTTTTATGTGGTTGCCAAGACCTGCTTTAATATTTTAAGAAGAAGAAATAGATTTTTATATGCTTGATTGATAGTTATGTTTTTACAGAACTGAAATATTGTATAGACATGATAAATATATAGTTATATCTATTTGAATTTCTATAGTCTCTCGTGATTCTTTAAAGAATGGCACTTGTATTTTAACTTATAAAACTACTGTTTTATACAATGTATATATTATGATGATTGTATTATATGTATTACAAGTGGTGAGACTTTAATAAAATATTGAATCTGAATCTGAATCTGCACAGCTTTGTTGCAATGTAGATTCAGGAAGAGAATAACATCCCGCATAATTCTAACGTGGAATATTTTACCCATTCGGATAGAAAAAACTATGTCACCTTTATATATCCCTACGTACTTTTTATGTGTTCTGAAATTTTTAATGTTCAATACGAACTTTGATTCAAATGAGTTTTGTCAACAGAAACACTTGTATTTACAAAATAAGGATAATACATAAAAGCTCTCAAAATGATTTCCTACTGGTTAAAAAAACGTCAAACGTAATAAGCTTAAGAATATTGTAAATCAAGTACAATTTAAAGCTCTTTTAACATTACAAAAAAATAGCTGTCTTGCAAGGATTCTTGTTTACGAATTATATTTTTAAATTGCATATTTTGAAACGAAGAGAAACAAAAGACTTTAAATACTCGTGAATTAGACATCTTTCAAGAAAATATTATAGGTTTGCTTTTTTTCTTGTTATTTATTTCTTTTTTTCTTGTTATTTATTTCTTTTTTTCTTGTTATTTATTTCGAAGTATGCAGTGATTTTCAGAACTGTTGCAGTACAATGTATTTTGTAATTCAATTGTACACAACTGTGATCGAAGACAATGACCGCTTTTCCCTAAAGCTGATGACCAAAATTTAAAAGATATCCATGTTGTTTGCAGAAGTAGGAGATAAAGGAATATCTGCTATTCAAGACAACTCCGTTTCCTTCACGTCAGGGTTAGTTATTCCTAGCCTAGACGACGTCCGAGCCAGTATTCGTTACGCTTTTGTAATTTCATGCATGTATATAACACTGAGTGGATGATGTCCTTGCCGAAAAAAATGCTCACTAGCAACATTTATGACATCGACTAAGTGATGGTAAACAGGGAAACAATATACACAAGGGCAATATAAAACCAACAAGATACGGTTCATTACATAAAACATGTATTATAAACAATCAATAAATGCAAAAAAGTGGACACCACTGTACCATCTGAATGTTGATGCTTAATAGACGTGTTAGGAAAGTCAATACGATTTTGACGCTGATGTTAAATACCAATACCACTACAGGTTATAGTGGGGACCATCTCAAAAAGCACAGACAATAATTCATTATAGTTACCTGTATGGGTTTGTTTGATAATGCCGAGATGAATTTTAAACAATAAAATAGTAACTATTTATTCCGCAATACATGGACGAGGATCCAGCAAAACAACACAAACATTATTCTTGCATTTTGCATAGTAGGGATCGATTAAGTTTAAGATCGTTGTTCCCCCATTTCTTACTATTTTGTTGAACGACTACAACGAAAATCTACAAAGTGATCAAAACAAATGAATAAAAACACAGGAATAAAATCACATTCAAATTCGATTTTTCACTCTACATTAATCTTTGTTCAAAACGTTCGTTTATTTGAAATATTTTTAAAAAATAATTGTCATGTCGGGGCCTTTCTTAGCTTTTATATGCGGGAATGGTTTTGCTCCATGTTGGGGGTCTGTCATATACGGTGATCTATAGTTGCAAACATTTACGTCATTTGGTCTCTAGTAGATAGTTGTCTATTTTGGCAATCATACCGCATCTCCTTATTTTATATCATTTTCTAAAATAGAGAAATGTGTTACACAGTAGCGTAAAATCCTAAAAATAAACCAAACTAGAAATGTGTGTACTTGACAATTAAAAAAAGACTGAAACAAAAGCGTTTTCAATTTGATTATCTTTATATTTGTATTTTATCTAGAAAGGTCACTGACAATATTATATAATGTTAAATGAATTAATTCTTATTCACATTAAAAATTTAGTCCTGACATTCTCCTTCTATCAACTTTAATCAGTTAGTTTTTCGGAAAAGAGAGATTATCGAATTAAGTTTTAAAAGATTACAACGTTTGGACATTATCAAGCATGTTAAATTTACGTTTCGGTGAAGGGTCGGAAGTTGCTGTTTGTTTTGGTTTTTTTTGCTTGTTACCACGGCTTCCTCCACCAACAAAACAGAACACCACGATTAAATTGGGATATTGTTGAAAGTGGCGTTAAACTTTCACATGGAGATGTTAATGTTAGTATCTTTGGGTGAAGAGGTTATTTTGAAAATGGAATATTCATTTTCACCTCTTTCAAAACAAAGTCTGCTTAATTATATGTCGGGCATTTTTTTCTTTCGATTTGCTTCATTAGATTCACTATACACTACGCTTTCTAAATTGGACGGTATATAGTGATGGGTGAATTGGTCCATCCGTCCGTTTTTTCGTCCCTCTGTCCATTCATTGAATTCATACCCAGATAGTAGTAGACAATACGAATCGCATATAGCTCATGAAAAGTGGTTTTCTTGAACATTAAAACGATGCGCATCAAGACAACCTTCTTCTGTAGCCCCCCTAATTCTTAAAGTTTTAATATAGAAATAGCACTGTATCCACTTGTGTCCACTTTTTATTTACTTTTTTATATAAAGATATAACGATGTGTTCAGATTAGTACTGATTTGTTTAAGCCACACGTGTATACGCGTCACTGTATCCCTGGACACAAAATGCATGCTAACTATATTTTGCAACGGAAATAGGAATATCTATTGTGGAGAGACAAACTGAGTTATTTAATTATTAAACATATTCTAATCATATCGCTTAATATATATATTTATAGACTTGTGGCCGTAAAATCCGTCATTCCCATTCTTGACTCTTACATATATTTTTGTTTAGTTTTGTTTCAAACAAATTCAAATTAATGTGTGAATGTATGAAGATCTACGTAAGGCCAATGCAAGTCTTTAAATTTTGAGTCAACATTAACTGTTCGCTTTATATTGGATCAAACACACCACAAAGGTAAACTATTATACTACACCGGGATACTTTTCAGTGCAATTGCATTTTGAGAAAGTCCACACTTATATCGGTATTTAACATCAGCGCAGTATTTAAACCCCTTTCCTAACACGTCTAATATACACTAATTATGATTCAGTAATATATAACGTTAACAAATGTACTTTTGAGCTTTCGGTTATGCCATTTAATAAAGGACTTTCCATATGAATTTTCCTGTGATTTCGGTATTTTTGTTATTCTGCTATGTTCTGTGGATGATTATTGAATTGTCCCTATTGAACATTTTGTAACAAATGAGACCTCCGTCGGAATAATGGGACTTGGGGATCTATGTTGGCTCAACACCACTCATGAAGTTACTCTAACAAGGCTGGCTAAAATGGTCGATAGATCCATTTTTTCTTGAGATTCAATGATTGATCTTATTATTTTTATTTCATTTTTCTTATTTTCCTTTTTTCGTTTTATTCCTTTTTATAACTGATTTGCAATTTTTACATGCATATATGATAGAACCCTTAATGTTTGATTGACAAAGCATTATCCTCAATTTAAATTTATATTTCGATAGTTAGGTCTATTCCACTGCTTATGTGCAGGGACGATATTATTTGTTTGTGTATACATTTTCAGTGTATGGACTTTTAATTATGCTTTAGCTAATATAAGGTTGCAACTTCCTTAGGCAAAAAATCTTTTATATCATTTGATGCATTATGCATGTTTTAGTTCTTCGGTTTGTGAAAAGTTTTATATCATAACTTTTGGTCTAGACGGTACTAGACGAAGATTATTCAGGAAACACGAGTTGTACATACACATGGTAATCCAGATCATTACCCTGATGCAGAACTATCAGATCTCACTTGTACCATTCGCACAGTGGCAAATGCTTTGATTTTAACATGATACAGATTATTAATGTTGTGGTTAAAATTATTATTCATAAATTATTAATTTTGTTCTTTTTGTATATACAATGTATCATCTCCGTTTTATTTCTTTTACTCTCCAACACGTTTTCTCGAGCGTACCGGCTCACTGTTACGAATATAGTTATTAAAATGAAAATTAAGAACTATTTACTGTCCGTACTTAATTGTTTTGTTTTTTGTTTTTTTGTTTTTGTAGATCTTGATAAGACGAAATTACTTTAGAAGTCGTAAGCATACATGCATGTTTAAATTTAAAAGATTTTTTTTCAATGTCTGGAATCTTCTTACATATGCGTCGTATGCCGTTATACTGATGGCAGTATGTATGAGAATTGTGAACTCCTCCGACTTCCATAGAATGACGCTCAGGTTATACAGCCTTGGTCTGTTTTTAATGTACATGAGATTTCTTCAATGTATGATTGTTCAGAGTTACTTTGGTCCTAAAATCATCATGATTGGTGAAATGGTAAGTTTTGGTTATAACTTAAATGAAAACGAGTTGCAATATACATAAAATAACAAGCATTGTATACGACCGTTTACGGGACGTATTATGGTATACCGTTGTCTTTCCGTCCGTCCGTCCGTCCGTCTGTCTGACCATCCGTCGTCAACATGTAGAACAATAACTCAAAAAACGCTTTAACCAATTTTTATGAAACTGGTGAATTGTAAATACCTGTTGACGTAAGCTCCTTTTCGATTGTTATAAATAGTGTAGTCCACCGTAATACTTTTGTTGGTAATACACGTGTTAGGAAAGTCAATACGATTTTGACGCTGATGTTAAATACTAATACCACTACAGGCTATAGTGGGGACCATCTCAAAAAGCACAGATAATCATTCATTATAGTTACCTGTATGGGTTTGTTTGATAACGCTGAGATTTTTAAACAATAAAATAGTAAAAATTTATTCCGCAAAACACGGACGAGGATCCAGCAAATCAACACGAACATTATTCTTGCATTGTGTCATAGTAGGGATCGATTAAGTTTAAGATCGTTGTTCCCCCATTTCTTACTATTTTGTTGAATAACTACAAGGAAAATCTACAAAGTGATCAAAATAAATGAATAGAAAAAACACAGGAATCAAATCACATTCGAATCCGATTTTTTACTCTACATCAATCTTTGTTCAAAACGTTCGTTTATTTGAAATTTATTTAAAAAATAATTGTCATGTCGGGGCCTTTCTTAGCTTTTATATGCGGGAATGGTTTTGCTCCGTGTTGGGGGTCTGTCATATACGGTGATCTATAGTTGCAAACATTTACGTCATTTGGTCTCTGGTAGATTGAGATGATAGGTGTCTATTTTGGCAATCATACCGCATCTCCTCATTTTATATCATTTTCTAGAATAGAGAAATGTGTTACACAGTAGCGTAAAATTCTAAAAATAAACCAAACTAGAAATTTGTGTACTTGACAATTAAAAAGAAAGACTGAAACAAAAGCGTTTTCAATTTGATTATCTTTATATTTTTATTTTATCTAGAAAGGTCGCTGACAATTTTATATAATGTTAAATGAATTAATTCTTATTCACATAACAAGTTTTGCCCAGACATTTTCCGTCTATCAACTTTTATCAGTTATTTTTCGGAAAAGAGAGGTTACCGAATTAAGTTTTAAAAGATTACAACGTTTGGACATTATCAAGCACGTTAAATTTACGTTTCGGTGAAGGTTCGGAAGTTGTTTTTTTTTGTTTGTTACCACGGTTTCCTCCACCAACAAAACAGAACACCACGATTAAATTGAGATATTGTTGAAAGTGGCGTTAAACTTTCATATGGAGAAGTTAATGTTAGTATCTTTGGGTCAGGAGGTTATTTTGAAAATGGAATATTTATTTTCAGCTCTTTCAAAACAAAGTCTGCTAAATTATATGTCGGGCATTTTTTTTTTCGATTTGCTTCATTCTGTTTTGTACACTCCGCTTTCTAAATTGGACGGTATATAGTGATTGGTGAATTGGTCCATCCGTCCGTTCTTTCGTCCCTCTGTCCATTCATTGCATTAATACCCAGAAAGAAGTAGACAATACAAATCACATATAGCTCATGGAAAGTGGTTTTCTTGAACATTAAAACGATGCGCAGCAAGACAACCTTCTACTATAGCCCCCTGCTTCTTAAAGTATTATATAAAAATAGCACTGTGTCCACTTGTGTCAACCTTTTTCTTTTCTTTTTTATATATAGATATAACAATGAGTTCAGATTAGTACTGATTTGTTTAAGCCACACATATATTCGCGTCCCTGTATCCCTTGACACAAAATGCATGCTAACTATATTTTGCAACGGAAATAGGACATATCTATTGTGGATAGACAAACTGAGTTATTTAACTATTAAACATATTCTAATCATATCGCTTAATATATATATTTAGACTTGTGGCCGTAAAATCCGTCATTCCCATTCTTGACTCTTACAAAATGTACATATATTTTGTTAAGTTTTGTTTTGCACTCTTAAATCAAACAAATACAAATTAATGTATGAATGTATGAAGATCTACGTAAGGCCAATGCACGTCTTAAAATTTGGAGTCGACGTTAATTAACTGTTCGCTTTATATTGTATCAAACACACCACAAACGTAAACTATTATACTACGCCGGGATACTTTTCAGTGCAATTGCATTTTGAGAAAGTCCACACTTAAATCTTGTATCGGTATTGGTATGTATTAGATACAATACAAAGGTAACAAAGAAACAGGCCGTAACAACCGTTGCCGGATAGTTTTTCTGCACGAGTAGTCAGGTCAAGGTCCGAGGCGATAGCCGAGGACCTTGACCTGACTACAAGTGCAGAAAAACTATACGGCAGGTTGTTTCCGGCCTGTTTTTTTTTTGTTACTTTTGTTTTGTATCTGACTTGTACGACGTTTCAAGAAAGTAATAATACATTTTGCAAGACTAAACATTTGAGAAACTTAGATAGCCATAAAGCAGTAAATGTAAGTTATAGTATAAACACACTTTTTTTTTCATTTCCCTTCAACCGAGAGTTTTTTACAAGAAAAAAATCAGGAATCTAATAATTTGATAAAAAAGAACCATATCAAGTAAAAGATGAATGTTGTACACATTTAAGACTTTTTAAAATGCAACTTCGTAAAAAAGTAATATATTAAAGAAATATTTTAGTGGTAAGTAAGCTAACGTTTGATTTTTATGGATGAAACGGAAAGCGGGGAGGGGGGCCTAATTTAATTTAAAATAAACAGGCTGTGATCTTTATTTTGATGAAAAAATGCAGAATGTGCCATTCCATCCCCCCATTCCCCCTTTAAAAAAATCGTAAAAATCGCACGTTTGTTGCCAAATACATGAATTCAATATTCAGTGGTGGGGGTCCCGGGGGTTGTAACACCCCTTTTTTGAACGATCAATACATTTAAATGACATATAGTTGGACCCCCCCCCCCCCCCCCCTCCTGTTTTGTCCTGGATTGGGAACCCTCTTTTTTAAAATGGCTGGATCCGCAACTGATATATATGTATATATAAATTCAATAACAATAGAAATGTATCAAAAGAATGAATTTCCTACTTCATTAGTGAATGAAATGTTATGAAAAAATGGATTTTGTCTTATTTATAATATTATATATATTCAGGCATATGCTTTGATTTTTTTTTAAATTCATGCTCGTCTCTAGATCTGCAAGTGTTGATCGGGATTAAACACGTGTTACTATATGGTCCAATCGCAGCTTACCGTCCAAAATTGATGACATAAGTTGAATGATTTTCTTCTAGATTTGCTGCTTATTTGGACGTGTATTACACGAACACTTTTTTTTTATAGGATCAATCGTGCATTGGTGAGTTGATAGGGATTTTATCTTTTCATAAGATTTGATTTTTACTTACTTATTTCCTGTCTTTTTTTATTGAAATATGAACGTCGCTATCATCATTTCTTTACTTTCAGCACTGTCCAAAATACTATTCATGTCCATATATCGAAGAAAACATTTATTGACCGATTATTTTGCTTCATAAATGGGGCGGTATGTTCTTTTCTGAGTATATTAACTATTTACTTTTCAACGCCATCACCCAAATATTTTTGTTTAAATTAGCACTATACGGTATTCGGAAAATCAGGAATCATGCAGAACATTAATTTGTCATCTGCTTGACCATAGTAAATTTTTTCTCATAAAATTTGGGATCAAAATATCTTTTTTTAGGAGAAACCCATACCCCCCCCCCCCCTCTTTTTGAAGTTAAATGTCTAATCCCTTAGTGTACTGATATGAATAGTATTTTACTGAAAATGTTTGAAAAAAGATATTGATGCTAACGTAAATATTTTGTTTCATAAAAAGACAGGAAATATGTCGGTGAACCAAAAAGTTCAAATCTAATTGAAATTTAAAGTGCCCATGAACTCACTGATCATGCACGAGTGAATCTATTCATAAAAAGTGTCCGTGTAACAACTAAAAAGAGTCCGTGTATCATCTAAAAAGAGTCCGTGTAACACCCGTTAATGTACTGTTTTTCTATAGCTCTGCGGGGGGCAAAGTCGTACAAGTATTAGATACAATACAAAGGTAACAAAGAAACAGGCCGGTAACAACCGTTGCCGGATAGTTTTTCTGCACGAGTAGTCAGGTCAAGGTCCGAGGCGATAGCCGAGGACCTTGACCTGACTACAAGTGCAGAAAAACTATACGGCAGGTTGTTTCCGGCCTGTTTTTTGTTACCTTTGTTTTGTATCTGACTTGTACGACGTTTCAAGAAAGAAGTAGTACATTTTGCATTTGGAAGAGGTAGCAAAAATAAACATATTAGAAACTTAAATGGTCATATACCAGTTAATGTAAGTTACAGTTTAAACACATTTTTTTTCACTTCCCTTCAGCCGAGAGTTTTTTTTCACAAAAAAATCAAGAATCTAATATCTTTATGAAAAGAACCAGTTCAAGTAAAAGGTGAATGTTGTACACATTTGAGACTTTTTAAAATGCAACTTCGCAAGTAAGTAATGTATAAAAAAGATTTCAGAGGGGTAAGCAAGATACCATTTGATTTTTATTGGGGAAAAACGGAAAAAGTGTGTGTGGGGGGGGGGGGGGATAAATTTAAAATAAGCATGCTTGATCCTTTTTTGGTTGAACAAATGCAGGATGTACCATTCCATACCCCCATCCCCCTTTTAAAAAATCTTAAAAATCGTACGTTTATAAACGAATTCAATATATATATGAATTCGAAAAAAACATAAAATTATCAAAATAATGAAATTTACTCTCTCATTAGTGAATGAAATGATATGGAAAAAATGGATTTTTTCTTTTTATTAGATATATATAGGCATATATTTTGGATTTTTTTTAAAGTTCAGGTTTTTATATGTCTCTGATAGTGTTGATCAGGATTAAACACGTGTCACTATATGATCCAATCGCAGCTTACCGTCCAAAATTGA